CATTCATTCAGGACTAATTAATGTAAAGCGTTCCAACAAACTGTCATTAAACTTCGGTGGAACTCAGAGCAGGAATGCTGTCCCCCTGGTTCTGAGGAACAGGCACAGTCAGCCGGAAGAATTAATACAACATGTTTGATGATCTCCCAAAAATGCACTAAATGTAACAAGAAATCATTTATTACACAAAACGTAAAAATCAGTATCAGTGTTCAATGCTCTGAATACTGTGTGTGTGTGTGTGTGTGTGTCTTTGTTACACTGTGGGGACTATATCAGCCCTCATCACCTTTCGGGGACTTCCTGGAAACGTGGGACAGCAGTTTTTCCTCCTGCCACAGACTAGTGTGGAGGACTAGACTTCAGCTCAGCTTTAAAGTGAAAGCTGTCTATCTAATCAATTTATCTGCCAAATGTAATCCATGCAGAATGGTGGAACAGTTTCTGTTTTACTTCTGTCAAACAGGTGCATCGACCCACAGAAATGCTCAGAATTCCTTCTCACAACAACAAACCAAAAACAGTTTCAAGTTTTAAGACACTTTATCGAACTATCTTCTGTCATGAGACTTCTGTTTCCTCATACCTTTGTGATTGATCTGATAGCTTCACGTCACAGAAGCTGTTTTCATCAGATTTTTATTTTATGTATTTACTTGGTGACCAAAAGGCTCCATTGTCCTTCAGACTTGATGTTTTTCAACTTTAACAATAACTAACGATAATGGATGATTGGATTTTCCCACCCTGTCTAAACTTTTATTGTGGTGTTTTTTTTAAATGATGACACACTGCAATATTGTGTGTGGTTAAGGAGTCATATGCGTCTCAGTATGTCCTGATACGAAAAACCTGTGAATAGGACGAGGACGTGCTCATTTTCCACGGAACTGTAATTATCTCACATCTTCACTCTGCTTTGACACGACCTTTGACTTCCTAACAATTACAAACTAAAAACCGTCACACAGTAAAAAGTTTATCGAACTATCTGCTGTCATGAGACTTCTGTTTCCTCATAC